TACTGCCCCGCGCTGAGAACATAAAGAGCAGTGCTACACCCTTCTTTCACTTGTGCCTTTCAGGTGAACGACAGCCACTGACCGACGAGAACAAAACCGACCCGGGAAACTTGGGCAAAAGCCTCGATCCTGTGTATCAATCCGTGAATCCGTGAAATCACTCTCCTGGTGCCTCCATAGCGTGCATACCGCAATGCACATTGCCGCCTCACAATGCGAGAAAAAGGTTCATAACGGTTGAAGGATATATTAATTTGTTTGTGAGGTTTAGGATAATAATGCCAAAGGAGAGTATGCGCAGAGATATCACGTTAAACTGAAAACCTGAAGGAGCGTTACAGGTATTTTTGTTTGAATGTTGAAAACAGTATCTAAGAGTTGAACTTTTTTGTCGGATTGACCGCAGAGTTGTTTCAGATGCTGATGGCAGTAAAGGCCAATTACCGTAGCATACTGCATTTTCAGGGACTTCATTTACCATGAGACATCTGGGGGCTGCAGTGCTGATGATAAGTGGTGTGCTTAAAACGAACGAGGCCAGTAGTAGATCTGCGCGCCTTTCCACAGTTTTTTGAAGATCGCGTCTTCAGCGGGGCATTTATAATGTGGGTAACGAGCATGGTCACGGAAGCTCTTCATGTTCCGAAACATGCAGACTAATAGAAGAAATTAGTAACATTCTTCTGTTCACGCGATGATGTTTGAGAACGTGGAGACTTTGTTGGGTCATTCGATACGGCTAAACAGGTGATCGTTCAGCTCTGCCTTTTTGAGGCATTTTACGTGATCGTGGGTGATTTCAAAGCCCAGCTTGTTATGTTCCAATAGTCTATGACAAATGATGTTCAAATAAAGAATATCAATAAATGCGTCTCGTAATGCTTCATTCCTGTTTTTCTGCGATAACAGCCATAAAGCGGCAATCTGGCGACAAGCTGCACGGCTTTTGTGCAGATTGATTAAGGTTTAGATCTTCATCCTACTTACAAATATTCAAAAGATGCCGGGCGAATAGTTCACTGCACATAAATTTATCAGTGTTGCAGAATAAGGTTTCCAGTACATTTGGTGAATGAGATGCAGTGGAGTCAAGGGTACAAAACCAATGCTCCCAGATATCCGTCTAGTCTTGAGTATCGGAATCGGTATCGAATCGTTCAGGTTGTAATGGTCGATCCACGGTCCGACGAAATTTTGGATGAATAAAATAATAAATGTAATCTTTCAGTTGTAGCACCCTTTCGGTGCCTAACTGCCATACCACCAATAGGAAGCACGAGTGCCGGCATACTGTCAGGTTGCTCAAGTCCAGATAGTCGAGGGGAAGTCGAGAGGCAGAGGTCGAATTCGAGACCTTTCGGTGAGTAAATTCGCGCTCCAACCACTGAGCCATCTCACCCCGACTAATAAATTGTGTTTGACGAGAAACGAAGGGCGGTGACAATTGGAGTAAGAACATAAAGTACCAAGGCTGAGAAGCTAAACCTTATTCATCCAAAGCTTTGACACTGAAACCTAAAAGGAGAAAAAATGATTTTATGATGAACGCTGAAGTGCTTTAAAAAAAGCACATGTGCAACAGTTGAACGTTAAATCGAATTGGTGGGGTATGACTACGGCATCGGCTATAGACCAGGAGCGGACAACTGCGTTGGCTGTAACTCTTCTTGTAACATTTTGTCCACCTTGTTGGGACATAGAACCTTCAAGGGCTTCACACGATATTATGCCACCCCGGTGTTACAAGAGTTGCAAATTTTATTCGTTTTAAGAACCTTCATTTTTCCGTCAACGATATCCGACGTGTGGTCTCTTACTGCTCCGCATGAGCCCTTTTGATGGTGAGCTTATCAAAACCACATAATCTTTCGAACACCCTGGTATTGACCTTAAAGGCCAACTTCCTTCATTCGAATAACAATTTCAGATTCCCTCGCCTTTCCCTGCACCGATATGTTCTGTTCCATTGTAGTTTGCTGTTTGAGCCAACTGTTCTCACTGTTTAGTATTACCACTTGTATTCACTCGAATCGCGGTTCTACATTCATGTCGACTGAACTTCAACAATCTCGTCCGACAAAGAGGTTGCCACTAGTCACACTGCTTCCCATAATCCACAATGTAATGGGCAAGTGGAACGACTTAACTTAATCGAATCGCGGTATTCATGTCGACTGAACTTCAACAATCTCGTCCGACAAAGAGGTTGCCACTAGTCACACTGCTTCCCATAATCCACAATGTAATGGGCAAGTGGAACGACTTAACTTAATCCTTTGAGGGACCACCCGCCTCGCTCTGCCATCACGAAATTTGTCTGCCGCTCATTGGGTGTTTGTTTTTCTCGGTGCTCTCCACTGTGTCAGATCCCTCTTGTGTGGTCGTGTCAATTGTATTCCACATGTACGTTTTCTGCCGTTCGCACAACCATCAGTCAACGGTGTCTCCCTACCTTCCTGGATTACTGTCCCTGGGCCGATCCTTTTAAAACGCAACAATCGAGCCTCTAAATAAAACCCACTGGTAGGGAAGTGTAACTTATCTGCTGTAATTTGCGGTATGCCCACATTCGTATAATCATAAATTGTTCAGCCGTAGCACCCTTTTGGTGCTCAGCTGCCATGCCACCCGAAGGTTGCACGGTTGCCTGGTTGCCCAAGCCTAGACAGGGAAAGTCGACAGGCAGAGGTCGGTTCCGAATCATGGACCTTCCGCTCAGTAAATTCGCACTCTAACCACTTGGACCAGCTCGGCCCATGCCCACACAGTACATCAAGATGACAAGCATGGAATTTTCTGTACGCCGCTTGGCTCCTGAAGGCAACAGTATGATATCCGACCTTTCCGACGCAGAATTGGATTCAGCGCATGTCGCCGAACAGAAGAATCATCACCCTACACCATCGGTCTACCGTGTGTATCCAGAAACCGAAATCTGGCTCAATGACGATGCTTCGTCATCTCGTTCCAATGTCTACTCAGGAAACCACTTGGATATTTTTACAGGACAACGTCGTAGTCATCAATATAATCTACGCAACAGAGTGGTAAGTGACCCCATAACCACTACAGCTTTCATTTCTTCTACAAAATCGTTTGTCGCAGTTGGGGTGCATACCAACCATCCTTATTGGGCGATTATTGCGTACGTTACGTCCTTCTGTTCTGCCTTCCTAATATCGAGTTGGAACCACTCAACTCTTGAAACAGGGGGTCCCATGGGTACAGTGCACGTTTCCGTTGAAGGCCAGTAGCCCGGGCTGGAGGCATCAGGTCTCCAACTGAATTGATGTTCGAAGTATTGTGCACATTGGTCCAAAATTCCTCCTTTGCTGGAAACCAGACAGCCGTTCCGGTCCCTGATGGTTTTGCATACAAGTGGCTTCAGAAAACTGGCCGAACGAATCAAGTGTCAGTCCGCTGCAATTCAGTCCATGGCTGTATGTGGGTTAGGATACTGCCAGGGTGCCCACACCTAGGCTGGAAGACGATTAGGGTCCTCTACCAAAGCTTTTGGCTTAAAAGCCTGACCACAAGGCAGCGGTGTTTGGCGAGAAATACAAGTGCATCACTAGGATATGTCACCACACATGCTCCGACCCCCTACTTGTGGTGCCAGTAGACTTAGTCAGACCTCTAACCATTGACAAACCTCGTATGAGAGACTGTCACTTGGACACCACTCAGTATGGCTTAATGGTTCAGAGAGGCACACAAACCGCCACACCACAGTAAGTTCCAGTCTGTCTGTGATCCAAGATATCCATATCCTTCATCATAGCGTCATCAACCTACGCAGATAGAGCCTGCTCAACCAATCAATCAATCATCGACAGCATGACATCAGTGTTGAACACCGATGCTTCACTGCCGTACATACCTGCTGGTACATGCCTGCTGGTATTCCGACAACAAAAAACGGTGACCTGATCAGTGATTGAATGAACATCACATACTGTATACGGTCTTTATACCTCGGCAAAGGGGTTGGACGTGTTACGCAACATAATTCGACCTTGACAAAGTCTGTTCATAAGACCAATGATTCATACATCGAATCCCTCGCTTATCTTGTTTGGTGTGATGGCCATCATTTAGTTCGAGGTTTCCTCCTAAGTGAAGTCAGTCAACCATGGAAAGCCGAGAAGCACTGTACAGCAGTTTCGTTATTATTGGGAACCATCAGCAGTGCGCACCTCACGAATAGTCTTCCCATATCTTAAGATATTTTGTTTCGTGTCAGGAAAACTTAGAGTAGGAATAGTCTTTCGCAGCTTACCGAAAAGAGGGTGTTGTGTAAAACAGGTTGAGAGCCATTGGCTAAAAGTGGGACTGCCAGCGAATAAATTGGTGCATCTGAGCCAATCGAACGGGATTCACCAATAATGACAACAGTAGCCTGTGTTTGCAGTGCTCACAAAAACATCGTGGCTCAACCGTAGATTCCGTAGATTAAACTAAGTTTTGCTATGCAGTATAGACGTAATGGAGATTTCCACAATCAGCAAGCCAACTAACCATTGCCCCCCACATTTGCGATGTTCACGATAAACGGTAGTGGAGTTGAGTAGAGTCTGTTGCGGTGCAAATGAAAAATTGAAGGTTAACGAGTTACTGCCACTGAGTCGCTGCTACACCGCATAAACGGAACAATTTCGACGTAAATGGATCGATCGGGTCGTCTCCTCCAACATGTGACTGTCATCTCCTCGACTAACATTGTAGTCTGGAACTGCTGCACTTGAGTGCACGATTTGGGGTCGAAAAACTCGATTGATACTATGGTTGGTGGGGGCAGGACAGAGTGCCACCTATAGGGGTTGGACAAATCCCCAATCCAGTAGATCTTGTCAGAAGAAACTAGTGCATGTCACTCTGAATTCACGGGCAGTTTTGTAACTTCAGACGTATATTAGCCCAAAGCAGTGCTTTCAACCGTGCATATAATCTTGTTAACTTCCAATTCGATACTCGTTTGTAGTTCTAGAGAGGGTGAAATGGCTCAAGTGGTTAGAGCGCGAAGTTACTGAACGAAGGGTTTGTGGTTCGAACCCGACCTCTGCATATTTTCCCTATCCAGACTTGGGCGACCTGGCAGTACCTCAGCCTTCGTGTTTCCTTCGGGTGGCATGACAGCTAGGTACTCGGAGGGTGTTACAGCTGAACAATTTTTTGTACTTCTAGGGGTCGACAGGTTAGACTACTTTGAAGAAGCGAAAACAAATCACTCGGATGCTTTTGAGCTCAGGCATGGTCGTTATCCGAGTTTGCTCATAGCCGTTGAAACTCACTAGTCGAGTTTGTGGTAATCGGGTTAGCTCAGGTCTTAAATCCAGCGCCGATATTTTCGTTGTTCAAACCTGTTCCTGACTTCATGAATGCTTCTGTCAAGCTTGACTTATCCAACCTACCAGTGCTTCCCTGAAGTTATGTGTTGCTCATGAGTCGGGGCTCATATCAGTGTGTGTTGTTGAAGATGACGGTAATGGTTCTGACGAACCGAATAGTCCCCGCTGTCGGATTACTATTATTAATGTACTTCTTTACATCTACATTTATTGGAGTTGTTTCTATGTTTTACAGGTCCTTTGCCGAGTTGCGGTATAAACGGAAGGACCGCATGAGAGTACGCGTGTATCGCCACTTCTCCAGTCCAGTTTAGTACGGCTTAGAAATCCACTAACTTTTTGTTTTTATTGGCCATCACCGATGTTTACTCCAAAAACGCTAACTAGACTGATTCCTTCGAGGATACCCTATCGGTCACTCAAGCTGGCCAAGCCGAATGTGATTGTACCCAACCTTTATGATAAAGCCAAATATCGCCTGGGATTTGGCGACCTTCGGTACCCAACGACTCAGTTGACTGCTGCTGGAGAGAATATGTTTGCAGTGTGTGCCGAATATCCCGTATTTGAGGAATTTGTAGAGACGCTAGGTCTACCGGACACATTTCAGTCATGGTTTTCCCTAACGACTTTGCACATGTGGCTATGCTTGGTACGTTTGCGGCAGGAAGGGATCGAGGGTCAACTTCTGAAGCGGCCGTTTGTCAATGTAAGTTAACCCGTTTCACCCCTATTGTTGTAGCTCTTCTGGTTAGATTTGAAACCCCGACTGCGTACGTTCAAGATTTTACGCAGACACCACTGGCATATTACTGCCTTCCGGATGCAATTTTTTGGTGCAATTCTCGCCTACGACGAAGGCTTCTTGGCACACTCCGATACTCATTTATCTGTTGCTTTGTGGCGCAACTTGTTTGTCTCGTCCCCAACAACCACACTTGGCCAACTGGAACAAGCCGTGGACTATGTTCGGAAGAATCTGCAACATCTTGACAATTTACCCTCATCCGTTATATTACGTTTCGGAACACCAACTTTTCTTCCTTTAAATGGGACTACGTTGGACAGGGAATTTGCTCACCAGCGTCTTATATACTGTGTTTCCTGGCCTAGTTTTGCGAGGTAGCATCAAGTATCCGGCCGCACGCAATAGTAGCTACATGATTTGAGAATATTAAAGTGTACAGTGCAATAAACCCCGCTTTCTCATTTGTTTTCTTTTTCTCAGTAAAGAATGGGTGATCTGTTGAACAGCTATTTCGGAGGGCTGTTGGAATTCCTTTTTATGTATTTAGTCAGGGAAACTTTTCAGTGGGTAGTTCACCAAAAGTGTCATACTTTATATCCATTCCAGCTTGTATGAGGGTATCTAATACGTTCATCTTTACTGATTGTTTCCAGCGTACAGAACATGCATATAATGTTGTCTATAGTCCTAAATGAACGGACCGGCCATCGTCTTCACATTTGTGAAACCTGCCTCGATGTTCCTCAAGCGCAAATAGCAGGTTTCTCGTAAGTTCGAGATTGCTGCTGGGTTAAAGAGAAAAGTTCCCAACATGTATGTCCAACCTCGGCATCTCGACTGCTCTTTTCTGGGCTTCGGCAGCCTGACTTAGCCCTATTGCCTCACTTGAGTGGCATAGCAGCTATGCACCGGAAGGGTGCTGCAGCTGGATGATCGTCGTTGAGTATCTCACGACTCGATACTTGGAGATTTCGAGCTTTCTTAGGAGCTTTGTGGTACAAAATCGTTGTGCATTCCGAATAACTGGAAGTAGCATCCAGACATCATTCTAATCCTTAACGAGCACTGCGCATTGTTTTGGGTTCTGATGGATTTCGGCTGAGCTCAATGAGGATTTCTGCTCGACTGCCCATTTGATGACTGGTACATTTCACAATTGCCACTCAGGCTACTTATGCAACACGTTTTCGTGCTCTACACGTAATACAAAATAGCGTCACATGAATAAGCGAGATTTCTTTTGTTTGAGCTCGAGATAGCTCAGTTGTTAGGCGCGAAATTACTGACTGGAAGATCCGTGGTTCAAACCCAATCCCTGCATCTCTACTGCTTTATCTGGTCTTGAGCATCCCTCTCGTTTCCTTCGAGTAGCCTAGCAGCTAGACGCTGAAAGGGTTTTACAATCAAATAACTGTTATTCCTGTTGGTGCTCTTTGCTTACTAATAACCGAAGAGTTGAGAAATCTGCTACTCTGATAGCGCTTAGTCACCCGGCCGGAGATGCACGGTGGCTTTCGCCAACTTGTTACTGTTAAAGTAACTTGATTTTCGGATTAATATCATGACATTGTCTTTCCTCACGGTTTTGCCGTTTGCAAACAGTGTATTTAACAACCAGAGTTTGAGGAAAATTGTCTTTGGACTCAGTTATATTATCGTCGGTATATTGGGACTGTTTGATCACTAACGCACAGGTGATACGTCTTACTTTTCCCACATCATTTGCATTCTGCTTCGAAGTAAACTCCAACAAACACGGATGCTATAAATTCGATAAATTTAGGGACCTGCTTGCATCAGAAGATCGGTAAGTGCAGTAACTCTCAAAGAGGTGTCGCCGTTTAAGGTATATATCAGCAGCCCCCGTCGGTCACGACCTGGTGAGCGGCATCCTCTGAGAGGCAGCCTACCTCTCTCTAGGTGGGCTATTTTGGAGGGATTTTTACAGCATATAATTATTCCAATAATAGAGTCACACTTGTAAATACCCACACGCTTGATGGTTACAATTACGAAGTGCAATCAGGCCTCATGAGACGGTCGAATAAGGGAAAGAACTATCGGTGCTCGTTTTAGCATGATGGGGACCGCGGTTAAGCGGATTTGACGTTCAGGCTACCGGAGGCCTTTCAACCTGCTGAAAGCTGCTCACTGAAAATACCCAGGCGAAAACGCAACTTGTGGCAAACACACCTGGTTGCATTTTTTCGCGTGCGGTAATATTCTCGTCACCGTTCTCTCTACATCGGTCCCGTATTTGTTCACACTGAACTTAACTCGATACTGAAAAAGTACGACTAGTCAGACGTGATAAAATAAGTTGGGCGTGGTGAGTGACACATCAATAGCACGTTTTTCCGTGAAAAAAAAACAAGAGGTGGTTGGTCCGGAAATATTCATCCCCACGGTCGAAAATGTATTGGTTTGGTTCATCCGGCTCGATAGCTTATGGTTTGTTGGTTACAAGCTCTGTCTGCTGCAACTGATATTCAACATTCAACCGGATTTGGTTCATAAACAGCGTTTATCTTCAGCCACGCTTGGAGGATCCTATTAATACTTCCCTACTCGCTTTGGTTCTATCGTAAACACTTGTTTCAAGCGGCCCAGGATTACCCGGGGATTGGTCACTTATCTTGAATTGACGTTGAATGTTCTGGACTCGTCAACCTAGATTGATGACACATCAGTAGGTTGATCAACCCGTTCAATCAGTACAATGCATTCAACACAGTTGGCTGCAAAAGTTACTAACCGGTATTCGGCCCAGTGTGAACTAGGTCTCCAACGTTCGGAAACCTTGGAAATGGCCACTAATCTTATTGTGTACTCTTGACGAAACTGGATTTAGTAGATTTGGTAATTAGAAATGGTGATCTGAAACAAGCCTGTCAGGACACTTAAATAAATAAGTAAAAATAATTTTTGGAAGACGAACGTGATTCGCCACTAGGTTCTGTTGCATATATTGTTGACTGCTAGCTCCTCTTTACTTTACTTTTGCTTTACTTATATGCAAATCATTCACCAGCATGGATATGACAAATGTATACCTATTAGCAACCCAACTACAAATTAGCAACGTCAAAAGACTCTCAGTGTTTGACCATCGATGTCTTCGGAGAATTGCCGGAATCTGGTGGGAACATCGGATCAGGAATTCTGAAGTACGTCAAATGGTATTCAGGAGAAATAACTCACCTTCGATAGAAGAACTGATCACACTGCATAGGTTGCGCTGGTTTGGTCACGTGTTGCGTATGACAGCCGACCGAATTCCTCAAAGGGCTCGTTTCGCACAACAACCAGAGGCGGTCAAACAATGACTTGGCAGTGAAGTATGAAAACCAATACCAGCAAACTCAGCTGCGCTGGTCACTGCCGTCTTCCTGGATGGGGACCCCGAGACGGGCTACATCAATGGCTGGAGACATTGTCAGACATGGCCCAGTCGCGCCCTCAATGGCAATCGTGCATCAAGGCTATTGTCTTCAATGCATAGCTTCTTTTCCATCCCCCCCACTTGACAGTCCACTGACAGTGCTGGATTTATGCACCAATTTTTCAGCTCCCGCCTGCAATGCGCGGCTACCTATCCCCCCACCCCCAAAAATCATCGGTGAACAAAACTGCGGCAGCTACAACCACTGCACGCGGTTATTTTAGCTGACAATGATGATGATGACGCTTCCTAATAGACAAGCTTGATTCCGTCGGACAAGTTTGAACAAGTGTTTACTAAACAGAAATGGTCAAGAATTTGCCCTTGTCAATGATAAATGCTCAGCACATCCCACTAAATGAATTCTCTTATCACTGTCAAATCTAAGCATCCAACCATCCGGTTGGCTTTATCTGCGAGGTGATCTAGGATAGGCGCAGAATTTAGGATGCAGGTGTTGAAATGGTACTCACCAGCCTAGGTCTTGACGCTCTGTAGGAAGACCCGTTTCACTGTATACATTCCACTTTCTGATTCACCATTTTGAACTTGTGCTTGTTCAATCATTAAGCACTTATTTTCCCATACGCTCACTAACTTTCCACTTTCTGGTCTTACGACAATGTCACGCCAGTCGTTTTATGCGTGCCGAAATTACACAATGTTGCGTAAAACTTTTGGACGCTTACTAAACTTCACCCTGTTCCGCTTATTTATCCAAAATCTGCTGTAGCTCTGTTGGGATTCGCTCTTCCATACGAATCGGTCAACTCGCCCGAGAACCGGGCAATACATTCGTCCTATGCGTCTATTTTCCTGGTCCTTTCAACCCCTTTAATGAACCATCTTTGTGGGTATGATTTTCTCCATGAAGTAGATGTGAAATTCGAAGAGCATATTTCAGAGAAGCGGATTTTGGAGTTTTGATAGTTTATCTATCACAGAAACTGCAGCATAGCGATTAGGGAATTTGGCGCTTCTCTGTTCCCGATGTTCGGACCGCAGCTATGCATTTTCCACCCTTTTTTTACGAGGCCTTTTTACACAGTAGATAGCCTTTCACAGCAGCGTTTCGGTCCGAATGTATCCCATGTTGTTACCCGTCTCACTCGTTCAATATAAGGCAAAACTGACTGGACAGATTTTTTGCCGCCAAAACTATTAGATGCGTTTGCTCCTTTTTGTATAACGTACTGGAGAGATGTCGTTCAATTGCTGTTTCTCTTGGCCTCAAACATCCGCCTTCTACAATTTCAAGTAATTACACAACCGAAGGCGATGAGAGAAACAGTGTTGTCTCGGTTTTAGAAGGAAGGTGCTCCACTGCTCTGTGCCGGAAGCCTATCTAACTATCTGAGCAAAACGTCCGGAAATCAGTAGATCATTTGAAACTGCCTGCCAAGATTGTCGGAGCCGGGTCTCCCCACTTTCTTGTTGGGGGAATTGTGAAACTGTCCACTGAAAGAGATTAGGGCAACCTCAAGTAGTATCGCAAACAGGTTTGAAAGGTTAATTGACTAACTCTTGAGAACGTGATGGTGGTTACGACTGTATGCCGGGAACATAAATGCTTCACTAAGGTAATGTGATCTGTCCACTTCTTAATTCATTTCAACGGAAAGTTTAATTTATAACGGTTTTTCTTAAGGATATGCCGGCCGGACATCGCCGACCATTGAAATGATAATGCGCGCAACTACATTGTTGCTACAACCATACTCTCCATACAGCGTCGTACTCGATCGATGACCCTATCCCAGATTAATCACCTCAGCTTGTGTAGTCGGCGCTGTTGCATGAGTCTCTTCCACGTTCGGTATCACCCAAGTTTTGACGGCAATGGTGCCTGCATCCCCTTTGTCTTGCGACACCTGCAGCCCATCGATCGACGTTCTCGTGTATAACCGACTATCTAACCAGCACCGTGACGAGGCTACCGGGCGTTCCTTAAGTTATTGAGGTTTCCATGCGGCTATCACGTGATTTGCTGTCGGTCATCTGGGTTCCAGTAGACAATTCAACACGGATCCTATCTTGGGAATGTGTGCACAACACCCTATTGGGTGAAATTGACCCTTTTCTGGACTACTTAAAAACTGTGAGAAGTGAGGTCAATCTATGTTGAAAAGCCGAGCACGACTGTATAGGTGTTTCGTCCTCATATGGAAGCATCAACAGTGTGCACCTAATGAACATCCAGAGGACATCGGACCTGCGACCTGGCTCGTAGTTTGAACAGTTAACCGTCTGTCCACGAGCTACCTCAACATAAGCCGAAAGGATGCACACATGCGTTTTCACTAACAATTGACATGTAAAGCAAATCAAAGATTCAGTGATTCACTGGCTTGTGTTCGAGCATATCTTCTAGTTGACGAGAATCAGGGTTCACCTTCAAAAATCAATGTCGATAAAACAGAGGGGTGAGTGGAGTTCTTCCAAAATCCAGCTCGATATCACTGTTTCAGAAATATCCGTTTCTGAAAGTCGCGGAAGGACTTGGTACACAAAGCAACGCTTCCAGTCCTCAACACAACGCTATTTTCGAGGTCTCTGAAATTTATACAGCCTACGAGTGGTTTCGGCCTTCTTCAGACTCATCAGTTAGGAGCAGTCTTCGAGTTTCAATTAACGTTGCGTCCTACTTGTACACCAAATTGTACGAAATTTGATACACATACTCATTCGCACACCCACCTGGTCTTAACGAGAGACTCAATCGAAGTCCAGCTGAATCCCCCGTTCATGCTATTCTCCAGCTGAAAATGTTGCACAAAGATCGTCCCATGTTACGGTTGCTATAATATCAGAGATTTTTTCCTCAATGGAAACTACGCACAAGGCTAGTGAGAACCCTTCAACAGCCCACGAGTGGCTTCGTCCTTCTTGGGGTCGTCAGGTATGCAGTTTCCAAATTTCCCCATGTTCTACTCGAACACTGAAGCATATCATGTCATCATGAATATCGTAACAACTGAATTGTGAGGTGGTTTTGTGCAGTTGAATATCGTAAAAGACAGGTTCGATTGGGATTCGGCTGAGTATCCCGCTAACAAAGTAACTTGCAAATGAGTGTAATTCGCCGATCGCGTACAACTTCGTCTTCAAATATAACACAAGGTTGACAGAAACTCGGATATAAGCCCTACGCTCCTGATTCCTCAATCTCAAATGTAGTGGTTTGGCCAAAAAAAGTCAAGTATACCTCTAAGCCTCTTTGAGACCACTACGAATGACAAGTCAATCAATTACGAAATGCAAGTGCACCAAACGGCATTCGTAAAGTTTAGTCACGCCTGATGCGTAACGATGGTGTGCTGCCTGGTCTCACTGATAGCTATAAAACAGCTAATTCGGGTTTACGATAACTATTTTGGATAGTCCCTTTTTACGTTGTGAAGCACGCACTAGGCGGATCCAAAGAACTCGAGCCATTCGTTTTTGACACGTTACTGCGTGACGAGCGGTACAGTTAACATGGTAATAGCGCGTAGTAAGCCAACAGCTGCTCCTACACCCATAGGCTGAAATTTTAGCGGGCAACAGCCTTGGCTGACGACAGAAAATGAGAATGTCTACTGTGCACGTGTGCTTCTTCATTGTGGACAAACCGTAAACAGGCTGAAGGTGTAGTGTGTGGTCACGTGCAGATTATGAGTTCATTGTGAAAAATGGCGAACCCAAACTCCAATGTTTTGAATGCTAGGGACACAGGTGACATGAAACACAATCGAAGCATTGACAACTTTCCGAGTATAGTACGTTTATCTGTTTGAGATTAGTGCAACGAACTGACAAAATACTTTGCACAAGTCACCGTCAGTAGCCACATTCGAAAAACCAGACTTATGATAGCCAGAGATTCAAGATGACAGCAGTACTTGTGAGATAATTTTTCATAGCTTTTCATGAGCCTCAAAGCATGTTCTGTAGTTATGAAGTAGCGGACTTGTGGTTCTGAAGGATGAAAATAACACAAATGTGGTAACGGTTGGAGGACAGCCCACTGCACGTTTCGTCGAGTTTGGACTTAATCATTCACCTCAAACACCCTTTTAATGACCAGCTGCAGTGCTACCGCAAGGAAGCACGAGGGATGGGATACTGCAAGATTGTTCAAGCCTGAACTGGAGCAGTCGAGATGCCGGGGTGGATTCGAAACATGCACCTTCAGGTCAGTAATTTCGCATCTTAACCGCTGAGCTATCTCCAGCTCGTGGCCTGGATTTGGCATGATTCGACCCGCTGATAGGTACAAAACCCCGGTATTAAGCCCACGGTCTTCTATGAGGATCATGAAAAGTTGAGAGCAATTTTCTCATCATTCAACAATGGTTGAAGGCTTGACGACGTGCAGAAAACCAATAAATAACAGGTGCGTTGGCATACACCATACGCACAAGTGACCGCTTGGCGTGCGAACTTTGAATCAGACGACCAGTTCCTGTTACATCGATATGGAGAGGTCCAACCTGGACTAAACGCACTGTGCTCAACAATCGCTAGAGAGATTGATTAACCGACAAAAGCCAAAGCGATAAGTCAATAGGACAGAAGAGTTAATTCAGAGCCATTTGGTCAACTGACAATAACAGAAGGGAAAAAGAGATAGAAATGACAAAAACAGGTCCCAGGAGAGCATTGGACAATGAAAACGCGGAAAGGCAAAGCCTAAAGTCAACCCGGGGTATACAAAACACACATGTATTTACATAATCAAATCGCAATGACCGGTCGCGCATTGAGAAGTCACATGGAATCTGTTATGGCTGAATAAACCAAATGGCTACGGTGACCGATTAGGGCGAGAATCAGATCATGTTCTGCATCACCAAGATGATTCACTCGTGAATCCAGAGACAAGGGTACGAACAAAACTTTTTTCAAGCAAATGGTTTTATGTCCCAGACCTGAGAAAAAAAGCAACGGATGAGAGCACGTAAGGGATGACTGATCATGGAGTATCTGTGGCAACGTGTATTTGGTTCAAAATATGCACACATACGCAGACTGGATACATACGGTAAACGATGGCTGCAAATTACGATATCAAAGAACGGATTACGCATCAAGCTGGTATGGCCTATTACATCAGGTTAACTGTATTAGGCATGGAGAACTACGAAACGGACGCTAGTCACTATCAGCCATGAGCCTGACTTGACATCCGTCACTCGGAGAACTGCAGAAGTGATGTTCACCTACACTCTAATTTACGTTAGTCTGATTGGCTCATAATGCATAAATTTTCAACAGATGGGAAAACCACTTTTTGAGGCCACACTTGAACTTTATGGCACGAGCTTCAGATATGAGGGTCTAAGACATTAGGAGTGTTAAAATATGATCTGGTACCCAGGATCGACGACCTTTCAGCATTCCGAACAGGACAACGACGGTAGCCAGTAGCTATGTAGTCTAGGTCAAAATAATTTATGTCCTACCACGTTTACCAGAAGTCAGGTTTGCAAGTATTTTCCATTGCTGGAGCAGCAAAAGTGATGAGTTTATTCAATCAGAGTTAGTAGAGATTATCGGCAGTGCGAACGCGAAAAGCGCCTCGGGCAGAATACTACAAGACATCGAATGCGCTGAAAGGTTTTACAGCACGTATAGTAGTGGGAATGAAACAGGATTCCTGGCGACGAGGCTGCCACACTAAATTCACAGGGTCAAAATATCCTCCAATCTAAAATGTGAAAAAGCTGCAGGTCTCCTGTAGCTAAGTGTGTACGCAACTGGTAAAAATAGCATAAGATCACACTGTTTTTGAGCGGCGGTGAGAACGGTAAAAAACATGGTGTCCTTGACGGCCTAATCAACAAGTCCAAAGAATGAAATGCAAAAAAGCATGAGCGACACTGAATAGCAGCTTGTGACCGTAGGAACACGAAGGCCGACATCGTCATCAGCAGATGCCACCGTTTACAGTTTCGTTTGCCGATGTAGGAAATGGAGGCAGAACCGTATATTGAGGGTACCCGTAGATGTGGAGTCGGATGGTGACTGTTCTGTGAGTTTGAGGGAATGTTTTATAATAAGAACATGCTAAAATCAACAGGCTGGATGTATGATGTTCTCGAATGACAGTGTCGTTAATCGAAGATTTGTCTCAAATTGGAGATCCGATCCAAGGGGATGGTAACCGCAAGAGGAAATGCATTTTCTGATTTTGGGATCAGTGATATAAGCTTCCTAAGCCCCTTTCCTTAGCGGTTGAAAAAGGCATCTAGTGAGAATAGATCCGCCGGTAGCCGAGACAGTTATCCAGGCAATGTCAGTAGATCATGCAAAATTCGTTCGGGGCGGATCAGTGCGCACGGTCTGATATTAGTTCTGGGGGACATGGGCTGTTTCACTAACGTCAAGTCAAGCACAAAGCCGAATCAGTCTAAGCCGCAAATAAGAAATACTCATTTGTATAAACGGTATGAGTAATCAAACGTCACTCGCTTCAACCGGTCTGCAGGCAGAGTGCTGAAAGTGTATCTATTACAAACTACTTACCTTCAGGACCCGGTCTCGGCCTACGGTCAATAGCAAGTTCAGACTCTCCTCTATACGTAAACGTAAGATTGGATGTCTCGCATCGAACAAAATCGCCAGACTTCGACGACTGGAATAAAAAGGGTGAGATTCTGATAATTCAGATGCGTACTTCATCGCCATAATCATGACAGCGTGACATCAGTGTTCAACACCGATGCTTCACTGCCGTACAACCATGACTTATTTGAAAGCCTTGTTATGAAGAGAAGAATAAAGGTGGATGGGGAAGGGACTTAGTGATAGCTTACTATAATCATTCCGAGGTGACTACATATCCAAACACCCATTCAGGCAACCTGAATAGAAAATGACAAAAAGGGCGCCAATGACATCGATGAGCGGCCATATCTTACAGCGCCTCCAACCAGGCGCAGCGGGGATCACACTGTTCCTAACCTGGTCAGCGAGTGGCACCCACAGCACCCAAACTTTTCGTAGTCTCCTTCATACCCTTCTGTCAGGTCAAGGATTGTCCACCTCCCTGCTTCCGACACTGAATTGGGCATCGAAAACAGCCCTTTCTTCGAAAAACGATGGCTAAGCATACGCAACACATGTCCCAACCAATGCACCTTCTGGTGCTGTTCATATTCTTCAATGGAAGTGCCTGTTGCATAACCGAAAATTCGCTCCCTTACTGCCTCGTTACGGATACGCCGACTCCAACCCACACGAGCTATGGTTCTGAGACAGTGATTGTCGAACACCTGAAAACGTTTCAGTTTCCCTGCTCGAATAGGCCGAGTCTCACATCCATACAACAAAACAATCCACACTGTAGCTTTATACACACGTTCCTTGAGGTTCAGGGATACACCACTTTGATGCCATAGGTGTCTCAAATTAGCAAACGCGACCCGAGCCCTGGAGATTCGCGCATTGACCTCATCCGTCATAATACAGTAGGAACTAATACAGCTTGCAAGATACGTTAAACGCTCCACAACTTCCAGTGCCTCTCCCTGGATTGTAAGTTGCGTGTTCAGTGACTGCATATATAGGAGCCATGACCCTACATTTGGTGGGTGCAAAGTGCATATCAAAGGACGGGGTGACTTTGGTCAGTTCATCTGAAAACAGTTGCGCCCTCTTTCGAAGATTAAAACGATGTCGTCTACATGTTCGAGATCAACAAGGTTTTCTTCACAGGCTATTTGAACACCGGAGTTCTAAGGACCTTCCAGCGGTCGTTTCATTATCTCGTTGATCGCGAAGCTAAACAGGAATGGATATAGTGGGCTGCTTTATGTAAGAAAGCTTCTGGAGAGCTCTCCGTATACTCTCACATGTCTAGAAGTATGAGAAGACAAAGATCGTATTATGTTCATAAACTTCCGGGGCATTCCGTGATGGGCAAGGGTGCCAAGGACAGGTCAACATAGGCGAATGCGTTTTGGAAATCTAAGGATACTAGAATTGAGGGTCGTTTGTACGTATAGCGTTGCTCTAACACCTGACGGAGTGGAAGAACTTGGTCAACTCAACTCCTTCCAGGCCGAAATCCCGCTTGCTGCTCTCGAGCCAGTGTTCCACGAGTCACCATAAGGCGACGAAGCAAGTGACGCCAGCAGTCTCGTTACGATCTAGGTCAAGCTGACCGCCCGTGGTTGGCACATTCTCTATGAGCCCCTTTTTTGAAAATGGACACAATCACCGACTTTCTTCAGTTGTCTGGGGCAGGGAAACGGGTTATACAAGTGCTGCTTAAGGACTTCACAGCCCTCTCAACAAAGCGGATGGGAGGTCATCCGGACCAGAAGCTCGGCTCTTGAGAGAACATATGTAGTCGTAAACCTCCAAGGCCATAAGGAATTCCACGTTTACTGTGAAGTGTTCTACACTTGCTGTATGTTCCACATGAGTGGTAGTTGGTGGCCAAGATAAGTGTTGTTCGAAGCAGTCAGCCAACCGGTCCTTGGTTCTTCTTTATTCAAGGTGGCCAAACTATTCTGGTCGTTGAAGGTTTCGCTTAAGGGAAATCCATCTGGACCACTATGTGGGGGAAGCATACCGTCAATTTCAAGTTTAAGAAACCGACTTGAACCCCCAGTGTACGAACGTTGCAACACAGGAGATGTGGTAACATCATCAGTGTGGATCGGCTCGCTAAAAGTGTGAAGTTAAATCCCATCGAAAATGGTGGCAGTCTTTAGGTTACAAGGAGGTTCACGCCGCTGCTTGACTTTGGGTCCGTGTTCACTCACGAATGGTAGAATGTCGACGTGAAAATTCGAACCAATCAAGGCCAAGAAGGCTCAGTTCGGCAGCGGCCACATAAAATGACCCAGTGAATGTCGCTCCTTTGAATAAGACACAGGATTGCAGTTCTCCGGAAAGCCGCAGTTCACCGCCACACGCACCGATGGCGGTTCTGGATGAGTGTCGGATAGGTGGTCGCCCAAGCGTATTCCAAAGCTTCTCCGATATGATAGTAATGTCTGACGCAGTTTCCAACTGCAATCGGACCGGACGTCCGTTGACCAGGACTGTGAGGAACTTCCGATGAGACGGGGCACTGACTTGAAATGTTGCAAGCAGGCTCAAAGCGGAGCCCACCTGCTTGGAGTTCTGCGGGCGTGGTTGCTGCTTGGAGGCACCGTGGGATGTGCTGGTTGGGCGTGCCTTGCAGTATCCGTCTTTGTGACCCACGGTCTTGCATTGTCGGCATCGATGCTGTTTGTAAGGGCACAGCCTGACAAAGTGCCAAGCCCCGCAGTGCCAGCATGGGGATGACGGCTTCTTCTTCTTCTGGACATTCTGCTGACTTGATTGGGTATTGCCAGAACGCGACGGACCAGAGAT